TGTCAATTCGGATTTAGATTGGTAGATTTTCTTCAAAATTTGGAAATAGCGGCAGTGGTTTGTATCTTTTTTCTCTAAGTAAGTGCAGTTCTATAACTGCTAGACTGTTTTTTCTATAATTAAATTTTAGTTTACAACATGTTATTTCGGATAATGTAGTTTGCACAAGTACGCTCTGTGAGATATGGAATTATCCGATAAATAATATCGATTACTATAGTTTTATTTGACCTCTGAAGAACATTCCATTTAGAGAATAAAACAATATGACTGCTCTGTTAATAACTATTTGACATTTCTTGAATATTTGGTCTTCAAGCAATAATCTGGAGTCACTCGTAGTAATGACTATTTGACGTTTTTTAATTATGTATTTTAATTAAAGGAACATTGTTGTTTATCTAGAAATTCATTGAGTCATAAGTTGTGGATTGAATTTGCATTGTAACCAGTTTACTAGTGTTTTAATTGCTTGGTGCTGAGAAATTTGTATGTGACATAGTATGAAGTCTCATTCTGTATGTTGCTTAAAGTGTGGCAATTTATTTTTTATGTTGGTTCAGTTTCATATGTATTTATCATGTTGGTTCTGTATGGGTTTTAAATTTACACAGTGATTAATTAAGCTTTCATTTTAAAGGTTTTTTTTTTGATAAAAATAAAGGATTTAATCTCATAGTGGAAACTTTATCAAATCAAGGCTGCTAAAATCAGATTGGCGGCAATTTGTTTTGCAACTCAGGTACATAAGTGCCATGTGTGTCTTTTATTTCATATATATATGATTGTGATAGCTAACAAACTGTCTCTTTATTCTTTAGTTTTGTAAAGATTCTAATTTCATTTAAATATTTTTTCTTCAATCCATTAGTGCTCGGTGAAGGGAATCTGATTTGGAAACATTTACTTGGAATCGTTGGTGATAGTAAGGCCGCTTTCTTGAACGGTTAGCACCTATTTCACCTATGTAATTGGTTATTTATATACAAATTTGTTGCAAATGATTTTTTATTTTATCATTGTTGATGCAAATTGATACTGGTTTTGGTTTTAGCTTAGTTTTTTGTTATGGCAATCTGATATTGTCGTTGCTTACATTGATAATTGTGTATTTTATTTTGTAATTTTCTTTGATTTTCTTAAATACTAACTAGTTGTTTTCAACTTGATTTTTTTAGAATTTAGTTGTGTAAGTTGTACTTGGAACATGATGTATGATAAAAGTTTGGTGCACCTTAATAGGTAGAGTTATATAGGGGTCCATTTGGATGGAGGGATTTGAAGGAGAGATTTCAAATCCATAATAACAAATCCCTCAAACTTGTTTGGATTGAGGGATTTGGGGATGAATTTCAAATCCACACCCCTCCTTTTTAGTTGTTTATGGAGCAATTGGGGTGGATTTTAAATGACTCCAAATTGGAGTCATTTCAAATCCCTTCCCCAAATCAAATCCTCCTCCAAATCCCTCCATCCAAACGCACTCTAGGAGAAAACAGTAGAAAGTGAAGAAGAAAATCTTTCATCTCCTCTGGTAAAAAAATGTGTGCATGTTATATATATATATATATATATATATATATATATATATATATATATATATATATATATATATATATATATATATATATATATATATATATATATATATATATATATATATATATATATATATATATATATATATATATATATATATATATATATATATATATATATATATATAAATTATTTATATATGGGCATCTAATATTCATCTTTCTCAATTTATAATGTTTGATTTCTTAGAGTGTCAACACCAATAATGTAAATAAAAAGTGCAAGTTATTGGATGTTTGTGGATCTGGTCAAATTGTTGCAGAAGGACGATGGTCCTCAAATGATCCGAGTCAAGTTGTTCATTTTGTTCCATTGGGTCCTAATGCTACGAGAGTTTGAGTAGAAACTGCAAAAGTCCCAGCCGCGTCTCTCTGGAGACCTACATCTGAGATGGAATTCATTGAAGATGCCATAGGAACTACAGTAGCATGGCGTTATATTTAAGAGTACCGGTAAGTGATTAGACTCTCTCTATTCTAAGTTTAATTTTTTTCTCCAATCACGTATTGTACTTAATTTGATATTGTCATCGAAATTGTAATTTATGGATTGCAAATCGAATGATTCACTTGATTTAGTTAAATGTCCTCTATCTCTTTCTTTGTAGTACTTTACAAGTACAATATATTTATTTTTTTCAATTATTCTTACAAGAAATGGAAGGAGAAAATAGAGAAAAGTAAACATGGGGAGTCACTAGCCTTTTGGGGAGCCAAATGTTAGAGTAAAATATTTTTTATTGTTTATTTTTTAAATAGCGGAGTAGGTTGTTCTCTGATGTTGAAGTTATCAGGATATTTCATCAAACATAATAAGTATTTTGTTCTTTCATTAATAAAAAATTATGAGTCATTACTCATATTGCACCATAGTATCCTATGTGTATTTAGTATTGTGATTTATCGTGCTGTTATTGTAGCAATTGCAAATAGTGATAGTAATAACTAATTACATTAAAGAGATGCTACAATAGTGAATAATACAGGGATATATAATGCTATAAAAGATTGAACCGTAGCATATAATAGCATTTACAATGTGATGTTACAGAGTTTTACCATAGCACACTATAGTTGTCATAATATAGTTTATTATAGCACATCATAGGTGCTCTTAAAAAATGTACAATAGCGCCTGATTGTTGCGGTTATAGTGTTTATTATAGCGTTACTTAGTCGTTATTAAACAAATTACAATAGCGTCGGGTAACTGCTATTTTAGAGTCTATTATGGCGCATTACAAACGCTATTATCGAGGTTAACATAGCGTTGACGGCGCGCTGTTGTAGTGGTTTTTACCATAGCGCCAGGAAAACGCTATGAAATATCCGGTATCTATTATAGCTCCGGCAGACATAGCGTTTTCAAAAACGCTATCATAGGCTACGATAGCGTTTTGCAAACGCTATGGATGACAGTTTGTGGTGTAGTGATTAATGTGAATGGTTATACCTTTGATTTCACAATACGTACAGTCTGCTAGTGTCGAACACAACATATCCAATTTTTATTCAATCACGTAATCGTAGCTGACTTAATTATTCACCTCCACAAATCAGCATCTAATTGGATTCATTGACTGGGAAAAAGTTAGAAATTGCGAGAATGATTTTTTTTGGATAGTAGTCGAGAAGAATCAAAAAACAGAAACGAGAAGAGAAAAAAATTAGGTGGAGGAGGAAAAATGGGAAGAACCAGAATATACAGGAGAGAGACGCGAGGAGAAATGTTGGTAGAGGAGAAGAATCGGGAGGGAGATAGAGAAAAGAGAAGGAACGTGACTAGTTTCCATTCCCAATAACTGTTACCGTAAGGGCAGTCTTGGGATAAATTAAATAAATCGTCCGTCTTTCAAATTTATTCATTAATGAGGGATTTAGTTCAGAAAAAATATTATAGTTGTATCCTACATCTAATTATGTTTGATTTAAGGGACCTCTAGCATATTACCCCTAATTTTAATGAGTTTCTTTGTTTGTATTGTTAGTGCTCTAGAAATGCAAGCAAATGTCTCAGGTTCGAACCCCAATTAATGCAACTTTTTTGGAATATTTACACATTAAAAATCCGGGTTCTGGGCGGATAAACCTGTCATGTCTCGGACCCTAATATATGGGAACCAAAATTGACCGATAATACAATGGATCCGGTTCTGGGTCCGTGGTCAACATCTCGGGTTGGGGCGGTCAACGGGGTAGGTTCGGGGCAAAATGGGCCCGCGGCCATGATTAATATCAACTACTCATAACTCACTACTTGATGCATTTTATTATTTTAGTTTTTTCTTTTATAATTATTGTTTTTATATCTATTAACTAGAAACATAATTTAATTATATTTCTTAATTTCTTTTTATTTTTATTTTCATTTTTTATTTTCTGTTTTTTTTAAATCAACTATAAATTTTAAAAAACAACTATAATTTTTTTGAAATTAACTACAATTTTATTTTTTTCTTTTTTTCAACCTTTTAGAATTAACGATAAAAATACCGTAAATACCTACAAAATGTGGTGTTCAATATAAAATTGGAAATATTAATGTACATATTTTTTTATTTTTTTATATCCATTTTTCTATACAAGTGTAACATATAAAATATGCTTAGTTTTTTATTACATGCCTAAAACTTCAAACTCGTTAACCCCCAAAATCGTTTGATTCAAAAATCTTAAAACCGTTATCAGTGCCAAAATTGTTTACACCCGTCCAGGGGTGAGGCACTCAAGCCCCCCTCAATTACTATTTCTCCGTTATATTATGGGGGCAGCTACAAATAATACAATTTTTTTCTCACTTCAATACCCCCAAAATAAAAATTCAATAATAAATAGGTAATGACATAAATACCGTTAATGAAAATTAATACCAAAAAACATACAAAATCTCGTTTTTCTTTATGCAATACCAATTAAATAAAAACCCTGAATCCCCTTTTTCCTTCTTCACAACCCCCTCAACCTCCTCCTTCTTTCTCATAACAAACCCTGCTAAAATATCTCAAAGCCAACAAAATCAAAACGTCACACAACTTGCAAAATGGAGTCAAATAACAACAATATGGTATTTTATGTCCAAGGATAACCCATTAAGGTATGTATCCATGTCATGTTTGAGCTTCGAGTTCAATTTTGAAGGTTTTTTTTTTAAACTCGCCTCCAGCTTTTGACATATACAGGTCGAATTTTTGTTCAATCTTTGACACCAACTTATCGACATCTTAAAAAAAAGAAAAAAAAAAAGAATTTTGACATAGACATGTCGAAATTTCTCACAATTTCGACATGTATGTGTCGAAAAAACACTGCTTCTTTAATTTTTTTTTCTTGCAGCAGTAATTTTTTGACATATACATGTCGAAATTCGTTTTTTGTAATATATTTTTCGACAAGTTGGTGTCGGAAATTGACAAAAAAAATGACATGTATCTATCGAAAACTGTCGACGGGGTTGAAAAAAAAACTTTAAAATTGACTTCGAAGCTAACAAAACATGGATACATACTTTAATGTGTTCTCCTTCCGTGTAAACTTGCATTTCATTGTCTTGTGACTCCATTTTATAAGCTTTATGAGGTTTGATTTATTTTGAGTTCTGAGATTTTTTGGAGGGTTTGTAAGAAAATGAAGAAGAAGAAGAGAGGGTTTGGGTTTGGGTTTGGGTTTGGTGGAGAAGAAGAAAGTTTTTTTTTTTATTTGTTTAATCTTTGGTGTATTGAAATGAGAAAAAAAAAATATTTGTTTGTATAAATTGTATTTTGTTTAATTTGATGAGGGATTTTAGTACTTTGTTAATACAAATATAATATTTGTGGCATTTATCTATGAAAAAATTGTAAAAACTTCTGCAAACTATGATATTAAACTTGGTGGTATTGAAGTGAGAAAAAAATAATAGTTTTAGCCGTCCCTTACATTATACCTATATTATTATTTAGCCCAACCAATTCTTATTATTTAGTCAATTAAAAATTCAAAATATGCAAAAAAAAAAAAAAAAAAAAAAAAATTCCGAAACTTTTTCTCCTCCTAATTTTTCCAACCAAATAGGGTCCAATTTTTTTTCAAGGGCACTTTCCCCCGGACCTCGGAAAATTTAAGCTCACACCATAATAAATTTTTAGACTCGCCTCTACACCCGTCAAATCAAATTGCATCAATGATAGGATTTGGTCCTATAATTTGAAAAACATCTATTATTTTATCAATCTTAATATTGTATGATACATAATTCTCTATATGTCCACTAGGAGTGTGCACCCAGTCGGTACAGTTTGGTTTTAATTTTGCGAAAAACAAAAGATGTACCGATAATTTCGGGTTTTCCCATTTTAAAAAACAAATAGGTCGGATTATTTTCGGTTCCGAGCTAATCGGTTTTTCGGTTTCGTTGTCAATTTGTTTTATTTTTGGTTTTCATTTTCCCTTTCGGTTCGAGTCGATTCACAAAACCCATATTTGATTAACTAGGAATTTTGGGTTTTTCATCCTGTTTTTTGAAGATTAACAAATAAATATAGAGAAAAAAAATAACCCTCTAAAAAATATTCAATAAATCAAGGCCATTTCGTTGGTTAAAAGTTATTACGCGTTGTCAAGTTAGCAATCCAAAAAAATTCTCAAAGTTTAACATCACGCGGTTCATTCCTCAAGGTAAAACAAAGACTAGAGATTCTAACGGAAGCTAGAGAAATTAGGGAAAAAGGAGCATTTGCACAAGATATGCACTCTAATCGGTTTGGTAAACGGTTCAGCATTTATTTTTATTCACTATAAACAAACCAATTTTTTCGTTTTTCAAAAAATAATTGTCATACATGCAATTTTTAAATCGGGTCGGTTCATATAGGCTCGGTGTCTTTGATTATCGATTTGGGTTTTCTATTTTTTGGTATTTTTGCTCACCCCTAATACACAATATCACCAATATCGTTCAAACTTGATCCCATGTTGCGTGTGAGGCTCCTTACCTTCTTAAGAAACAAATAATTACTTTCCTTATTTTTTGCAGTTATTTAATAGGGACTATTAGCCATAACCCCCTCTATTATTTTTTTAATAAGGGGGATCCAACCATATTTTCAATATTACTAGAAAATCCACTATTTTAATGATTCCTAAAAATAGCATTCTCGAAGACACTTACACAAAATCCGGAAATTTGAGATCCATGCAATCGTGTGTGATTATATTTCCAAAAAATCGCTTCCGAAATCTTTCCGTAAACTCCCACAAATTCTATTTTTTTTTTATATAATTTAAATAAATTTAAATTTTCTTTGTTTTATTGTTTTATCTAAACACTAACAATAATAGCTCTAAAAAAATATTATTCTTTTATTTTTTTATTTAAAAAATATTTTAATTTTTTTAATTTCGGTTTTTTTGTTCGGGAATCAACTATAAAGATTCTGAAACCAACTATAATATTTCTGAAATCGACTATAATTTCTAATTTTTATTTAATTTTAATTTTCAATTATTTTTGGCATTTTATGGAGAAAACATCTATTTTTTTGCCATTTTTTTAATATTAAAAAATATAAATTCTAAAACAACTATTAGAAAATAACTATTTTTTTCACCTGTTCGTTTTTTTGCCCATAATCAACTATTAGAAAGCTGTAAAACAACTATATAAGAAACAGTGATTTACAAATAACAAATTTACAAAAAATAAAAATAACTACAAATGAACGAAATCAGTTATAAAAGAAATGGTAATCAACTATAAATTGTATAAATCAACACAGAATATCGAAAATAATTATAAAACTATCGAAAACTATTGTAAAGTTATCGACAATAATTACAAAAATAGCAAAACCCAAAATCAATTACAAAGTAACGGAAACAAGTATAAAGAAAATTGAAAAACATCATAGGAAACATGATATAAATAAAATTGCAATAAACAAGAAAAAAATATAAACTTTTTGCTTGAATTAAACGGCACCAGATCTGAACTTGGTCGCGGAGCATTTTGCATTGTCGGGTTTGTCGGAATGACGAGATCAATATATGCACTTGTAACCGTGCTTCCTATCGACGTTGTTTCATTTGCGTGTTGGATTCAAGGCGGTTGTGGAGGAGCGGCGACGAGGGCGGGAGCGGCGTTGTAGGAGCCTGTTGTGGAGGAGAACGGCGATGTCAAAGCCTTAGGCCGACGATGTGGAAGAGGTGGGGGCGGCGGTGGGGGCGGCACAGAGGTGGAAGGGGATGGAGGTGGCGGCTGTAGAGAGAAAAGAGAGAAAAGGAGAAGAGGAAGAGAAGAAACGTCAAATAGTGTTTTATCACAAATTTAATTATTTAGAGATATATTAGTCATGTCAATTCCAATTTAAATTAAAAAAAAAATATTAATAAATAGGAAGGTCTCACTGATAATGAAAGAAAGAGCTATATCAACTTTAATATAAGTCAATGATTT